ATGCGAGTTATCAAACACATATGCTTGTTGAATAAAAGACCATGAAAATTCATCTTCCAATTCACTGAAAACTTCCATTCCAGGCACAACCTCTGGCCTCATAGATGATTCTACAACCACATGGTACTCGTCCTCCATCGACACCACAAGTGGCTCCTCATCAAAAATAGGCGGACCGTCGTACAATAGTCCGTCATTCTCCTCAAAAACCACACCTTGTTGGCCGTTGTGTACAACAACGAGCTTAGTCTCGACAGGCGGAGGCGGCCACTCTCCAAAGGGATCCACCTCCAAGATGGTCTACTCGTCGTCTGCATCGCCGGACGGTGGTTGTGGAGATCGTCGACGGGGCGCCCCGCCTGGACCACGACCTCCACTTCCTCCGTGAACTCCCCCGCGCACACCCCGGTCGCCGGCGGCACGGTTCATCTGCAAATCCGCAATAATCACGTTGTTCGGCGTCAAACACACATCCTCGATCCCCGTTGAAAGATCTGCAAACCAATCCGTGAAACGCACGTCCACCTCTTCAAATCGATAGTCAGTTTGTTGAAACCGATCGTTGAAGGTTGCATCACGTTGTTTGTTTGCGGCATCTTCTCGTCCCGGCGACATCGCGAATCGTACTGACTGCTGATACCAACTGATGTAGGGAAAGCGTACGATGGGAAGGATAAACGAGTAAACGAGATACTCTCTCGTAAAACACGTAAAACGAGATACTCTCTCGATAAAACTCACAATCAATTCATTCTTTTTTTTCATAATCAACTGACTAAAACACTATATGATGAGCCCTTTAAATAAGACTCCAAAACCCTATTCTAACTTGTCCAACAAGACAAGATCTCTAATAATACTAACTTGTCTAACAAGACAAGAATCCTAACAAAGTGATAAATAAGTTTCCTAACAAAGTGATAAATAAGTTTCCTAACAAATCTACAATACCACTAATAATAATAATAATAATAATAATAATAATAATAATAATAATAATAATAATTAAAGATTCTAAACATCCTTATCTCCATCAGGTTGAAAGGAGGTTTATTTGTAGGGTGGGGTTATGATATTTGTGTGTTTAATTGTTTGGTTTCTGAGTTTTGTATTGTGATTGAATTCAAGAGAGATGGTCGGGTAGATTCTGGGTGGATTTGGTTTGTGCATGCAAGTACATACAGTGGCGTAAGAAGGTATCACTGGGAGTATCTGATAAATGCGAAGAAAAGAGAGGTGGTAGAAAAATAATGTGCTTCAAGTTTTGAGAATTTCAAACAGTTCATTGGTGATTTGGGGATGGGATTGTTTTATTTTAAGGGATACGCTTTCACTTGGGCAAACAACAGAAGAGGTGAGGGATTGTGGAAGAAAGACTTGATGGATGGTTTGGCTCAGCTGATTGTCCGTTATCTTTTCTTGAGGCTATTGTTCATTTTCTTGAGGCTATTGTTCATCATTTACCCAGACAATCCTCCGATCAGAATATGGTGTCATGGGAAGCATGGCCTTTGAGGGGAAAAAAAGAAAACAAAGATTTTGTTTTGACCAAAGATGGATTATATCTAAGGAGGCAAAGGAGATAATTGCATAGTCATGAGATGAGCCAGTTATGGGCACTCTACCAGTAAGAGGGAGGTGACAAAAATTTAATTTTTTTCATGCTTG